CCAATTTCCTGTCTGTAGCTCGTAGTCTTTCTTAGTGGATGTTTGGAATGTAATTTGAAAACGGATTCTATTTCTTTAAGAAGTACCTAGAAGCAGAATTTGGATGAGTGCTTGGATAGAGTTAGAAGCATTTGACAAAATAATAGTTTTGGAGTATTCTGAAACTTTTGTTCCTTAAATAGCCTGGTTTTTTTCGTTCTCCAAGTTTTCTATACAACTAATTTGGGCTCTGCTTTCTAAAAATAACTAGTAAAATCAAGACCAAACACTAAATGCTCTTTGATGACATGATTACATATGACATATGGTTAGTATGTTAGCTCAAACCAATTCGGGATATGAAGAACTCTTAAACTGTGTGAGTTAATAATATTGATATTGATTTTTTCAATGATACTTATGATTCAAATGCTTTTTTCATTTTCCGTATGCGGATCAATATCCTGAATGGGACGATGTGTTACAGTCAATAACTTGTCTTTGTGAACTGCACTTACACAGTCTGACAGAATTGTAATATTTGTTGGTCACTTATTGTTCTTTTCTTTTCAAAAATTGCAGGTTGGGACTTGTTGCCACAATAAAGGTATTCTTGCATTGAGCTTCTTAAACTTGTACGACGTGCTTGAACAAAATGGCCTTTTGAGAATGACTTTAGAACTTGTGATTGTTACGTTATCCATCTTTTTGGTGCGAGATTAAGATTTTCCATTTCAAAAATTTCCCTTCTTAAATAAGGAGAGTCTAGCATGGTTTACTTTATTATGGTGCATGGTATTATTTCTAAGACTACAGTGACATCCATGTTGACCAACTAGATGACATTTAGCAAGTAAAATTACTATTTTACTCTTCCATCAAAGTTACATCTTCTTTACATTGTACTTAAAATGGTCATCCCTAAATTGCTGACTCCCTAGATGTCATCTAGTAAAAATACTATTTTACCCTTACATCAAAGTTATATCTCCCCTGCAGCAACATCCATGTTTACCACCATGATGGCATTTAGTGAGTATGACTTAAATTTTACCGCTACATTAAAGCTGCATCTCCCATTCAGTGAATGTAAAATGTTAATTTCACTCCCAAAACTGCCATCCAGATGGTCAACCTTGGCAATTTTTTATGCTAGGAAAAGCTGAAATTCTTTAAAGCAGATGGCTTTGAAGAATGAGAAGATGGATTACTTATATAGTTGTTGATATTGCTTTTTATTTTAATTAAAATAAAGGATCGTGCTAATGAGATATACAAGAAGGTTGAAGATCAGAAATCTAGTAGAGGAAGAAACCAGGATGCCATTCTTGCTGCCTGCTTATACATTGCTTGTAGACAAGAGGACAAGCCTCGCACTGTAAAGGGTACATCCTAAGATTATAAATGTTTTAGATGCTTATATGGTATACCTCTTAATTTGGAGGAGCATTCTTGAACACTAGAAATCTGCTCTGTTGCAAATGGTGCAACGAAGAAGGAGATTGGTCGGGCAAAGGAATACATAGTCAAACAGTTGGAGCTTGAGATGGGTCAATCCGTTGATATGGGAACAATACATGCAGGGGATTTCATGGCAAGTCTTTGTTTTTAACACAAAACATTAAGGAAATTATTCATTGTTCCCCCTTTGTGGATTACTGTATTTCACGATTCTTTCTGCCACACTGTTTTATTCCCTTCAGCGACGATTTTGCTCAAACCTTGGAATGGCAAATCAAGCTGTTAAAGCTGCCCAGGAAGCTGTTACAAAATCAGAAGAGTTTGACATAAGGTAGTAGTATCTCTTTTCTGCAGTGTGGTAGTATTCAGACTTCGGATCAGTTCAAATCTTGAATATGTTACTTAAATTGGTGACTAACTTAAATCTATAAAACTTATTATTTCTTCAATTATCATCGGTGAGCTGGACACTTCAACTTACTTTGTTGCACTATTGTCCTCAATACAGACTTTTTTGGTATCTTTTCAAGCTTTGGGGGAATGATCAAATTCCGTGATATTCGTTAAAAGAATCTTTTAGGGTAGCTGGCATTCTGTGGTGAGAAGAGAATAGATTTTCTTTTTAAAACAATAATGATATGTTTAGGTCTTGGAAAATGCTAGGGAAGATTAAAAAAAATGATAAGAAACAACTATTTTCTTATGCATTACCTAAAAAATGTAAAAGAAAGTGACATGTGATTAATGTTTTAATTTTTTTTACACGTGTTTGGATATATTATTATTTATTTATTTAATAGAAATAAGTAAATAAAAATGAAATGTGAACAAATGTTGAAAATAAATTGATTGAGTTTTGACTAATGATTTGTTTTCCTCTACCGTTTCTTTCCTTCCAAATTTCTCCCATACTTTCCTCTCTTTTCTTCCCCAGCATGTTTCAAGTTCTAACATAGTCTAGGAAACCAGGAGTGCTTATTGACCTTCATTAATTTTTTATTTAATGCAGGAGGAACCCTATATCTATTGCTGCAGCTGTTATATATATAGTTACTCAACTTTCAGATGATAAAAAGCCTGTCAAAGGTAAAAATCTGAGCTCCTTCCTCGAGTAGACATTGTCAAAGCCTATAGTCCACATTAAGTTTCCTGTTACCCTAAACCTTTTTTTACCTTGAGTGAGAGTTTCCTGCCATAATGTTATGCTGTGAAGTTAGTTACTTGGCATTATGTTTTATTTATCCCTGTAGTATATATCAATGATATTACAAAAACATGTTTGTGTGTAGATGTATCACTTGCCACAGGTGTAGCAGAAGGCACGATAAGAAATTCTTTCAAGGACCTCTACCCTCATCTGTTGAAGATAGTGCCAAATTGGTATGCTCAGGAGCAGGACCTCAAGAACCTCAACAGCCCTTAAACATAGGAGTATTAATTAAGCCAATCATCTGGGATTTTATTCTGAGGATCTATGCATGCTAGATACCTAATGCTGCAACTACTCCTCATTATATGAAACAATTAGGTTTTAATCTTTCAAAGTTTCAAGTTAGAGCCAATGGCAATTTTTTATTGTTCATATCTGTTGATGTCTCCTAGAAAATGGCTGAAGTGGCAATGTGTTGAAGTTCTAGTTAAAATGGTTGAAATAAAAATGTATTCTTATTTATTTAATAAATAAAATAAAACTAATACTACCTCTGTTTCCAAAAGAAAGTCACACTTTGACTTCATAATTATTAAGGAAATAATTTGACTTTACCGCAGAGTATATTGTTTAGACACTGTTTGACACTGTTTTGATGTAGATTTCTTTGCCAAATAAGGAAATAAGGAAAGTGTGACTTTGATTGCGAAAGGAAGGGAGTATAAAATAAAGCTAATACGTAAGAATGGATGAACTTTCATTACCCTAAAAAAATGGAATGGCTTTCATTTTTCTTGAATTTAAGTGTGCAAGAAAGATTGACATGTGTTGCTCTTTTTATTCATTATCGTCGGACTCAAGTCACTCAACCAATGCAGTAAAAGTTCATTAAAGGTCCATTTGGAACGTTAAAATGCTTGAATATTTGGCATAGATAAAACATAACCCAAACTCAAAAGATTCATTTTTATATTTGTTCAGATTAAATTTTATTTATTAGCAATATAATCATTTGTAAGAAATCAAGAGTTTTTTCAAAAAGGTTACTGAAATAAAATTTATTTACAAAAGTATGATTAAAGTTCTTGATAGTTTAATCGTTAATTAGAATGAAAAATTCAGCATAAGAAAGCTTGACGAAAGTTATTATTATTTTAATCACTAAAATTATTTTAATCACTAAAATTAACGGATCGCATTTTGTAATAACCTTTTTTAACCACAAATATGTACTTATTTCAAAAATTAAAGCATTACTGGTTGCATTATATAAATTCAAACACTTTTTTCCTTTCCTAGCATTTTCGAGTATCCTCAAGTTTTTAGGGTTATTCACTTAGATTGATTTCACTCTCTAACCAAATCGGATTAGATTCAAACAAATTATATTTAATACTCTGTATCATATTAGAATTAGTACCAGTTTGATAACTTTTGATTTTACATGTGTAGATTGTGTTATATTAAGAGCCCGTTTGGTAGCACCAAAATTGACTGTTTTGGCTAATTCCGCTGAAATTTATGAAGTTCTAGCTAAAGTGGCTGTTTTGACTGATTCTGCTAATTTAAGAAAAAAATATTTATAAAATATACTTTATTAATAAAATAAAGAAAAAATTATATGTAAAATAGCTAAAATGGTCATCCACCGTCGTAACTTCAGCCAATACAATCAAAAAAGTTACTACAACCTTACTTTTTGTGCTTATTACACAATTCAACACGTGAAAACAAAAGTTACGTGTTTGGTAAAAAAGTTGGTTGATAAGCCTAATAAGTCGAAAAACAGTGTTGTCAAACAGCCTCTAAAATTAGTAAAACAGAGAATTCGAGTTACTTTTTCGGGATAAATAGTTGAGTTTTGTATGTCGAGTGATGACTATTTGTTAAGAATAATAAATAAGCAACTGAAAAACACCAAATAGGACTAATAACAAAGGATCACCTTCAATAGTACCTACCACATTTAAGAATTAATAAAGTGAGCGTTAAAAGCATTTGAGTGGGTATGAAGGTATGAGCTTTGGCATTTGCTTTTTTCTTTCAGCAAAGAGTTATCCAATCTGTGTGGACCGGAGAAGATCCCCTTTGCATTCACCCCTACCATCGTAGAAACTTTTCACTTTTGGTACCGGAACAATCAAATCCTTCCACTTTTGGTTTTTCATTATTATAATTTAGGATCTTTTGCCTTTTTAGGTTCTTTAAGTTCATTTCTTGAGCTAAATAAGCTACAAGGTGTGCAATTAGTAGCAAAATAAACTGCCCACTGGCCACTGGACAAATTAGTGGCAAAAAACGGTCACAAGGGGCGAAAGCCTATAATTAGATACCAAAAGTACAAAATAATGAGTAATAAACACACCGAAAATAGAAAAGTGGTGTAGTAGAAAGTAGAAAGAAAAGAGCCGTTGCACACCAAACCAAACCCACTAAGAACTTTATTACTGTACAAAGGGTAAGAAGAAGCTTACCCAATTGCAAATTTGCAATAGTTCAACAAGAACAACCCATTATCTTGAGGGAGAACACAAACAATAAAAACTACATTCTCTTCCAAAATATACTATGCATTTCATTGACCCCACTATAGAATCCTTTCCTCCTATGATGACATTGAGTTCTGAGGTTTTGATAAACCCGATTGCTCTAAATCCTACTACAACTTATGATACTGGCTGGGAATTGGAAAACAGCCCTATAACAACATGGTGTATCACAATCTGATCAAAACTACTAATCAGAGAGCTAGGGTATATCACAGAGGTTGAAAGGAATAGAAACATATAAGCAATTCAACCGAGTGGTTGATCATAGAATAGAAAACATAAGTAGTACTTCGAACCGAGATAGATTTGATCATAAAGAAGATGATCAAACCCCAATTACCCAAGTTCAGCTGTTCTTCATGCTCCTTTTCTCTCCAGAACCCATTGCCCTTCTCAACCTTGATTGAGTTAATAGCCAAAAAATGTACGACTGGAACTTCTTTATCAACGCATTGACATCAATGTCCTTACCTTCTTCTCCCTTTCCGCCCTCTTAGCACTCGGAGTCCTCTTCAGCTTTTGAAGTTCCTCCTTGAAGACCTTCTCCACGGTGTCTATGGAATTTAGAAGCTTCTTTTGAGGTGTGAGGAACTCCCAATCTTGAACTATATTCAGGACTTTATTATCTTCTACAGATGAAGTAGAAGGTGGACACAATCCGGTTCTCAAAGCTGGGAAGGGAGTGGTTGTGGGATTTGTGTGCTCGAGAAGAGCACTCGGTGTAGCTCCAAAAGGATCATGAGCAGCCTGATCTTGAAGCATTGGGGTCTCCGGTTGTTCATCTTCACCTTCTCTCAGGCGCTCTCTTCTCCTCTGGTATGCCTGTTTGGATTATGAATATTATATGAATGAATATGAATTCCGGCCAAATAATTACAAATGCCGACCGACATTACATTTAAGCGCACACAATAAATGACCTATCAAGAGACATCGCCGTAATTTACAATCAATCAATCAATCACTATCAATTAATCAATCAATTAATTTTAATTATGCCAGAAGTCGAGAGAATGATTACCCTGGTAATGGCTGTGATGTCCTGAAGCGGCCTACGGGGGTACCACGACGGCAAGACGCGGTGGCGAGCTCGGCCTTGTCTGCGGCCAGCTATGGGCGAAAGGTTTTGTCGACCGATTATAGCTCCCCTCGCAGAAGATCCACGGTCACGCCTTGTTCTTGGTGTTCTGAATGGACTCCTCCTGACGGGAGTAAGAACTCCGCCGCTAGGTTCCGCAGCAGTTTCTGTTCTCTGAGTTCCAGTTAAGCCGGTCTCCCCCCACCTGAACGTAGCCTCCTCCCCGTCGTTATTCGGTGAATGAACGATTCCGCCTCCGGATGTGCCTACCTGCCGTCTAATGTACACCTCTGCAACATCCGCCGGCCTTGACAAACGATCTCTGGCTTCCGGCATTGTATCAATCTTCAATAAACACAAAACATCTCAGAAGACTACAAATCTAGAGTACATAAAAACAGCGATAAGTAGCGACTCGGACAACCGAATACCATTTCAAGACGGTAAAAGGATTTAGCCGGCGACCTGAATCCGAGCTTTACTCTACTTAACACTTTGAATGAGGAGTAGTGTGATGATTATTACCTTGAAGAACTGCGGCGGCGAGAGGTAGACGATGATTGAGAACGAGAAGTGAAGCGGCTAAGCTTCTCTGATAAAGAGGGTGAAGAGAGCGCCTGAAGATTTGGCGAAAAGGGAGGATTTTCAAATTGGGGTTTGGGCGGCATTTATTCTGAAAATGAAAATTTTCACTTGAAAATCGAAATTTTGGGGACGGAATGAAAAATTGAAATATTCGTCACGTGCCCTTGTTTCGGATTTGAAATTTGAAATTTTCGATTGGGGTGAGAGGGCGTTTAATTGTTTTCGCCGGTATCGTTCCTTTATGATTTGCTCGAGTACAGTACCGCTCCCTCCATACCTAATTAGCAATTAGAACGAAATTTTGGGTTGAAATAATGCGGAGATTATTCTTAATACTCTTTCTATATTTAGTTTTGTACTCACAATTTATGTGCTTGTATACTTATATCACATTCTCATAGTAGGGGTGAGCATATAGATTTTCGATTCGATTCAGTTTGGAACAGATTGAAGGATTTATTTCAAACAAAAATCATATTACAACTATTTTTCTATTTGGTTCGGTTTGAATTTGCTATTTTTAATAACATACGGAGTACCACGTATGAAAGTTTCATTGAATTTCTTTAATTCGGTTTTTGTTTATTCGAGTTTTCCGATTTCACTTCGGTTTAATATGATTTGAAATAAATACTAGTAAACTCAAATCAAATTGCATACAATATGATTTTGGTTCATTTTAGCTCGGTTGACATGGTCTGATTCGTTTAAACTAAATCGATATGTTCCCCCTATTTCGTAAGTTTATTTCGTAAGTTGGTAAACTAGACATCCGGTGGTATAAGATAGCAAGTTAACAACCTTAGTCGGCTCAATATTCAAAACTACTCTGTATTTGATAATTTAAAATAGGTTGAATCTAAAATTGTCTATGTGCATGTTTCGTAGGCATAAGAATGTTTTTAATTGGACTGTTTTTAGTCCCAGACCATACCAAATCAGACCACGTCAGACCAGATCAGACTAAATCAGATCAGACTAGACTTGGATAGTTTTAAATACACAAAAACCAGACATTTACCAGACTACAAAAGTTCAGACCAAGTAAAAACATGCTAAATCTGCATCTTTTAACTTTTGGATTATTCATAAAATTTATAAAAACTTGTGGGTGCATGTTTGACATGAAATTTTTTAATAGCTTTTCTATAAAAAAATATGTTTTGAGATGCTACAACGAGTAATATCCGAGAAAAGTCTGTACCTTTTAGCATTAATTAATCTCAACAATTTGTATATCAAGCATAACCAAATAAAGTAGTCAGCTTTTTACTGAACAACCACCACCAGGTTAACAGTTACTAAAAAGTTCATAAAAATATCTTTTAAACTATTTGTGCCAAACAAGCCCTACCTACATGTTGTCGTTGAAATACAATTCTGAAATCCATAAAAAATTTTAACTTTTTTTTAATAAAATCAAAAGTTTTAACTTAAAACATATTTTACTGATAGAATAATTAAATAATTATAAGTTCTTTGGTAACACTTAAATTGGTTGAATCGGTTGATTCTACTAAAATTTATAAAGTTATGCTGAAGTGATTGGGTTGACTGATTCTGTTGATTTATGGAAAAATATACTTAAAATGTTTTTTATCAATAAAATGATGAAAATATTATATGAAAAATAGTTAAAATGATCATATACATTAACTTCAACCATATAGCTAGCAAAGTAGCTTCAACTTTACTTTTTCTTATTATTACACAATTCAGCGCGCAAAATAAAAGTTATGTGTTTGGTGAAAACAGTTAGTTAATAAGCCTGATAATTCGAAAAATAAGGTCACCAAACGGGCTCTATATGAAAAAAGATTGCACGATCATTTTTACCAAATTCGTTCAAAGAATTAATTTAAGACTGGCTTATTTTTATTACGTAGTATGAGAAAATGGTCAAAATGGTACATGAAGTTGTTTCGGGGGGAGTAAGTAGTACTGTAGTACTTCATCTTGTATTTGAAATTTTAAAGTACATGAACTTGTATTTTTATAGTTAATCAAGTATATTTGTACTATTAGAACGTTAAAATAGTGGACCTAACCAAACTATCTGTTTGTATTATACAGTTGCAGTCCAAGTCATCAAATAATTAATTTATAAACTCTATTTTTCTCCAATCCACTCGTTTTCACCTTCGTTCTTCGTCTTATATTTTTCTCGACTGTTCTCCCTTCTATCCGCTCTACATCTTATATTTTTCCTGCCTACTCTCTATGATATCCCATCGGGTTTTTTTGCTCTATTTTATTTTCTCCTTCTCTTGCTATAATAAAGATGGACCGATAGCAAATAAAATAAGAAACCGGCGGAATAGCAGGAAGAGAAGATGAAAGAGAAGGAGAGCAGCACGAGCATAACTAGAGGGGGCCAACCCAGACCCCAACCCACTTCAAATTTAACAAATGCTTTAGTTTTAAGATGGAAATTCTGTGTGAATTTTTTTCCCAAAATATTATTTGTACTGCTCCAGTCCGGACCAGTGCCTTGGTTCCACCCTTGGAGAGTAGACGAGAGAAATATAAGATGATGGGCGAGAGAAGAGACAACAAATGTGAGAAATATAAATTGATGACGAAGGTAGAAAGGAGTGGACTCGAGGAAATTAGAGTTTATAGATTAGTTATTTGGTGACTTGGACTGCAACAATATATTACAAACTGATAGTTTCGCAAAGTCAGCTATTTTAACGTTTTAACAGAGCAAATGTACTTAATCGACTTTAAAAATGCTAGTTCGTGTACTTTGTAGTTTCAAGTGTAAGATGGGGGACTACTTACTCATCTTGAAACAACTTCATGCTTCATTTTGACCATCTTCTCTATTTATTATCATGCAAATCAAGGCATAAGAACAAAAATCTAGTGTTTAACAAAATGTTGGCTGATAATATTGAGGAGTTAAGAACAATTTGATTATTAAACGTTCGTAATCCGCTCCAATGATAATATCTACTACGGAGTAGTATATTTCAATTAGGAGTGTGTGCGTCTGTTTTGATTTTTTTCAATGAGAGTGTGAGACGGTTCAAAAGGTGTAATTGAGAACCGAACCACAGTACTTAGGGAGTGTTTGCATTTGATTAAAAAAAGTGCTTTTCAGCTTTTGGCTTAAAAAAGTTAAAAAGAGTGTTTTCAAATGACAGTTTCTGCTTAAATTAATCACTTAAAAGCTAAAAGCTGGAAGCAGGTGGAAGGGTGCTTTAAACTGCTTTTCACTTTTTCTATTACACAAAAAAGTACTTCTTTTACCAAACACTATCAACTTTTACTTTTTCAAAATCACTTTTTCTTCAAACACTACCAACTTTTACTATTAATCACTTTTCCCAAAATCACTTTAAAAAATCACTTCTTTAAAGTTGAAGCAAACACTCCCTTAAATAGGTCCCGGTCTGATCAATTTTGGTCATTGTGTATGGATTTTAGCATGTCCGTGTTAGCTTTATTGCTTCGTTCGAGCGTAGACTCTTAAGTGCTTCGTTTAAGCACAACCCATAAATTGAACCACCGGGGGTTGAGTCGGCTTTGGTCAGTTTCAATCTGTTTAAGTTGGGTCGGTTTGTCAATCTGTTTCGTTTTTTTTTTTCATTTTTGGGCTCAGCCCCACTCAATGTATGGTGGGCTCAAATTTAAAAGCCCAAGTATGAAATCATATCTGAAAAAAATCATTACTTGGTTGGTTTACGACAAAGCCCAACTTTAGATCTACAACAATGAAGTAGATCACGATCCTCTGTAAAAATTAGAACATCTCAACCCGCAAAGATGTGAACATTGCAACGGTGTGATTTTGAGTATCAATGAGGGACGAATGAAGCATTTATTCAAAAGAGAATGAACCATGCAACCGAAGAATATAGCCCATTATAGTAAAGCTCATTTTTTCGTACATGATTGTTTAATGATAACTGATTTGAAGCTAGGTAACTGATTTGAAGCTAGGCATGCACCGGAGTTTTAATTTAAAATAATTTTAGGTGTTTAAACATTGCCTTATTAATTTGAAGTTTTCTATTATACTTTGTCATTTTTCTAAAGCATACTTTATGTCGTGTTGAGGTTTATTCCTTCAACCCTCGGGCCCAACACGTAAGCCCAAAGATTTCGAGTGGAGTGAGTGTATGAATATCTAGCCCAACAGCTATGAGATGGATCAGGAAACAAAGGAAATAGCAGGCAATGTAAATAGGTATTATTAACTTCGTAATAACTCCCCTAAGTACAATCTACTTGCTACAAGGGCACGTCGGCCGTTCGTCTTACAAGGCAGCTAGAAATGCTACAAGTAAGAATGCTGAAGCTAGTATGCTAAGAATAGAAAGTTGCCAACCCGTTACAATGAAATAAATGCTTCTATTTATACCCGCCAATGGGCAGGTGGCTGTACTGACGTGGCAGCCTGTGGACCGCTGGTGTCCCAACTACCAAATCTTTAGCATTAAATGCACTTCCCGCCAGAATCTAGGTTTCCCGCCGGATCAGCGGGGACGTTCGTCCACCCGGGAAGTGAGTTGGATTGCTCCAAGTGGCCCTTGAGGGATATTGGCTGTTCGTCTCCTGGCCTTGATAGATACTCACCATGTGCACTGGGTTTTCTCCGATGACTACAGGCTTGCTCTGGGGACGTTCGTCGCCATCCCTGGTGGCCCGTGGCTCTGCTCCTTGTCCCTGCATAGACGTTCGTCGGAATGAGCTGCTGGGCCTGAGTCCTCCAACACCAGACGTTCGTCCATTCTTAAAGAACGTGGGCCTGTGGGCTGGCCTAGTTTCTAGCTGGACGCTCGTCTGGCAAAATGGGTTAGTGGGCCGGACCTCGGCTTGGGCCCTTAACCCAACACAAGTCCCCCACTTCTGATGTTCTGAGCATGCGCAGGACATAAGGAAGTATGAACCTCCCCGAAGTAGACGTCCGTATCTTGGTACTTGTGTTCATTGCATCTTGGTGGAAACGTACGCTCGTGGCCATGGTGCTTGACAGCTGTTGACGGTTCAGGAAACGAGGTGACGGCTGATGTTGCGGCGGCGCATTTTCCCGAGGAAGTGTCATCATTACGTTCCCATCCCACGCACAGCGCG